TTTTTTAGAGGCGTGAGCTCTGTGGATGGCTTGGACCAATGGCAAAGCGCCATTGGTCCAAGCTGTCCAATCAAAAAAAGAAAAAAGAAACACTGAGGCCATCGATCTCGATGCCTCAGCAGTGATGAGCAAGTGAAGGACAGGGAGGCTCCTCCCTGTCTCCTTCACACTAGCTTGAGGGCCGGGTTGGGGGTGGGGCTTCAGTCGGCAGGGCTTTGGCCGGCAAGGGGAGTGGGGAACCGTGCAGGGGGCGAGGCTGGGGAATGCCTCACCCGGAACCAGAGGTACCGCACGTCACTGGACAAATGATAACCGGCGTGTCATTATAGTAAGAGTTGTTAAATGATAGGTGTACTTTAATACCCTAGTAAAGGTGGCCATACAATGATATATTTATCTTGTTCAACCCGCAGGCTGAATGAGAAAAATAGAGCACATTCCTCCTTCAACACTTAGGAGTGGGTCGATCGAGCAATCCCGATGCTTGCATTGCATTTTGACAGCGGCCGCCGGCTGCCATCGAGAGCGGGCAACTCATTGGCTGCCATCTCCTATTGTACGAACATATTCTGGAGATCAGCTGATCGAGGGATGCCCGACCAAAAAGGTGCCGACAGCGGCACCCACTGTGCGAATTTTGGCCGGCCGAAATTCGTTCAATATATGGGCACCTTAACCCTCCCTCCACCTCCGTAGATGCATACTAACCTCAATCCGATGGCCCCAACCTGTGGGATTGTTTACATGCTGGCCACACCTGTGCATTACAGCCATATAGACTTCTACGAGACAGTCTCACACCATTTTCCTTAATCTCTGGCCTCAGGACCGGAGTCTTTGGGGCTCTAATGTGCAAATGTGGCCAGGATAGCGAGACTGGGGATATACTGTAAACAAGCCCTATAGGCTGCAGCAGTTCATTGATTAAATATGCATCAATGTACGGACAGGAGTAGGTTAGATCAGGATAAAAGGGGCAAAAGGGATAACTTCACTGTTTTAAAGTGCACTTATCTTTAACTATTCTCTTTTCTTGCACAGGTCTAAGAATTCACAGTACTCAAGAGAGACTGAAGTGTAAACATAGTGCAGTGGTTAATGAAAAACTACAGTTAGTCAGGATCGAAATTGTCTTAATAGAACTCTCCAGAAAAATCAAACCACTTTTGATGAAATTGCTGCAGTGTTTTCTGGCTTTGATTGATTTATTTTCCATAACTTGTATTGAAGCTTTTAGTTTATAGGCCAGTTTCATCAATTGAATTCAGGTGATCAATCAAAATAAGGGTGGTAGTTTGCTTGATTTTAGGCAATAACTTCTGATTGTGTGTTTTCTTCACATTTGATAGAAAAGTGGTTGAAGTTGACTGAAATTATCCACGTGTATGACCAGCTTTCGTGAAGCATAGTGGCACATTTCTTGCCATATAAAACACTTTAATTCTCTGCAGATACCAGGTGCTAGGTTCAGCGTCCTTCTCTTAAATTAGAGTGTTACAAATCACCACATCACTGGATTGCAGGATAACTTTATTTGTTACAGTATACAGGACATGTGCTGCTCTTATGCATTTTGTGCCCCATGCATCGCTTTTTTTTAACACATGGCATGTATGTCATGACAAATAAAGACGTTTTTAAAATTTTTATGAGGTTTGCAAAACTGGGCAACCACAATGGATTGTGGTTAGGGATGTCCCGATACCGATGCTAGCATCGGAATCGGGCCCGATACAGGGCATTTTGACAAGTACTTGTACTTGTCAAAATGCCCCGAAGCCTAGCGCCGAAGCTT